AGGGGGGTCGAGTCCTCGCGGGGGGGGGGCGTCAGGACCATGAACCCGCTGACCTTTAACTCCCAGTAGTTGATAAACCTGCTTTAACCAGCGGCATCAGACACTACGTTCCTTAGAATTAGAAATCTGATTTACGAAACAAACTGTGACGTGCACAAAAAGAAGACGTTTGTTTTTATTTTTCACTGCCAGCTTAAATTTTTCTACAATTTGCATGTTTGAGGGTTTTTTAATTGTATGTATTATGGTATAAACGGAAAGCATTTTGACATACGGAATCCAGAGCACCTGCACCTTTCTGTTTCCATAGAGGTTTTGTGAACCTTCCCTATTACCGAAGGAAAGCAGGAGGCAGCATGTGCAGACCTGTAAATGGTTCATCTTTAAATTGTACATAAGTGGAACATTTAATAAAACCAGGGAAATGGATTTATAAACACGCGTTTTTATTCTGAAGAACTCTTTCCCTCGCGTGCTACCCTCGACGCTGAACGAGGCGCCTCCAGCCCTTCCCCGGGCCGGAGCGCGGCCGCGGGGTCCCTCACCCCGGGGTCGGGGGGACGCGGTGGGTCCCTGGGACCGTAATTAAATGTTTCTGTCGTTAACACTGAGGCTGTTCTGTGCCGTTTACGTTTCCCCAGCCCTCCCCGCCCTTTCACCAGGCCCTGGGCTCAATGCAACAACCTGCTCTCCGCAGTGAGATTATTTTTTTTTTTTTTTAAATAAAAGTCTGAATAATCATTAATAAAACTCTCCTGAATAAATACCTTTGGTGTTGTGTATCTCGGGCAGCAGTAAATACCTCTCGATGTTCTTTACAGGTGGATTTTGCTGCAGCACCAGCAGCTCCGGTTCCCCGAGGCCTCATAGCGCGGCCGGTGGGAGGGGACGGAGCAGCGATTGTTCGTTATTTTATTCTGTCACCCAGAACGCGCCGGAGTCGCTGACATCACCCCCCTCCTTCACCCCGCGGCGCTCCCGAGCATTTAACGGGCACCAGGAGCAGCGGAACGTCGGCGGTCGAGGCGCCGCTGCTGCTACTGGGCGCAAATACTTTTTTTTTTTTTAAAACAGAAAACATCTTTAAGACGCGCCACAGGTGGATTTTAAGGCTGGCTGAGGCTTTTGACCGACCCAGCTCACAGCTCCAACGCGACCCCGCACCCTGAGGCTGGACCCAGCCGTTACCCAAACGCTGCCGCTCCGGCCCCAAGCCGCAGCCCTCGCCCTGCAGATTTTTCTTGTGTTCAGGCCAATCCTGACACAACTCGAACATTTCACTTCAGGTTTAGGGACTGGTGCTGCCCCCTCGGGCCGCCTGGTGCTGCTCAAACACACAACTCAAAACCCTTTTTTTATTTTTTCCCCAGAAAACAACAAAAGTGGGTTGGTTGGGTTTGGGTTTTTTTTTTTTTGCTGCTCTTCTCCAGCAAAACTAAGGGCTTGCAGCCGTTAGTAACCGAAAGCTGGAGCCTCCCCCAAGGGGGTCCCGCTGGAGCCTCCCCCAAACTCCGTCCCAAGGGCAGCACAACACACAGACTCGTCCGAACGGGTTTATTTCGTTTCCAAACGGGGTCAGGTCGGCGCTTCCGAAGGGGCGACGGATTTACAGCGGGTGCAGAGGGCGGGAAGGCGGCGGCGTCACTCAAAGCCACTGCAAGAAAACGTTTCCATAAGGTGGGGGCGAGGCACAACCCGGATGCGCAAAATCGGGGGGTTTGGCGTTACCAGGCGCTGACAGCGGGGGGAGCGCCCACAGACCCCCCCTCCCGCAGGGCCCTGCCCCGAGCGGGCGGTACCTGACGAGGTGAGCGATGTCCCAGTTGGCCTCCAGGGTCAGGGGCCCCTCCACCTCCACGCCCTTCTCCGTCGCGATCGCCACTTCGTACTGCGGAGAGAACGGGGACGGGGCTCAGCGGAGCCCGAGACGGGCCCTGCGAAAGCTCTGCTCGGCGTCACCGAGAGCCGTGAGAGCAGTTTGGCGTTCAGCGACGTTTCACCGTCTCCCTGGGGGGGGCAAGCTGATGGAATTGGACACAAACACTTCCAGAGCTCCGGGATCGCAGCTTCTGGATGCTACAACCGCCGGAAGGGGAGAAGAACCACCCGGTCTGAGACGAGCGTCACGTGGACTCAAACGCCCCTCGGAGGCTGTGGAGGACTCTGCTAACGGCACCCCCCAACGCCCCCCTCTGCCAGCTCGGGAGTTCCTGCAGGGACCCCGAGATCGGGGCCAGGAAACAACCCGGGGTGAGGTGGGGCCGTCGGCCCCAGGCGCGCGGGCACGTACCCTGTTGAACGACCGAGCGTCTCTGTAATACAAAATTTTCATGCAACGCTCAATCAGGTCGCGGGCCTCCTCCTTCGTCAGGCTGGATTTCTTCTCCAAGACTTCTCTCATCAATGGCTGGGGGAAAAGAAAATAAAAATCCAACAGCTCAACAGCTGCGTGCCCCGGTGCCGAGGCGGCTTCAGCAGCCGAGCAGGAGCGAACTCTACCTGAGCCAGGTACGCGCCGTAACCCGTCGCCAGCGTCGAGGCTTCGTAGGCCACACCGAGCATGTCCACGTAACCTAGGAAACTGAGGGGACGCGTCCGTCAGGAAACCGAGGGGACGGCCCGTGAGCGCGGCAGCTCGGGGCAGGACCCGCCGGAGGCTCCGCGCCACCCGGCCTCGCTCACCTCTCGCCGCCGTAGTAGCCGCCGATGACGACGGTGTTCCAGAGCGGGTTGATCTTGGACCTCCGGTTGTACATGACCCGCGTCAGCCAGGAGTGAATGGCCTTGGGGCTGTAACTGTGCCCGTCGCCCAGCAGCTCCTCGTCGATTCTAATTTGGGGAGGAATTTCACCCAACTAAGAAAAGCCGGAAACCACCCGGAGGAGAGAGCAGCTGCCGCCCGGCAGGACGGGGCCCCCCCCGCTGGGTGTTCAGAGACTTTCCAGGTGAATCAGCCAAAGGCTGCAGAGAACAACCGACGCCGATTCCCCGCGGGGTCTGGAAAAGGGGCTTGAGCCAAAGGGGCCGTCAGAGCCCGCGGGGGATTTCAGCTCAGCTTTAGCCCAGCTCAGCCAACGCGCTGAATTCCGGTTCAGTCCTCCAAGGGCCGGGAGGAGGGAGCGGCCCAGCAGGACCCCCAGCGCGGGCAGAGCCGGCGGAACTTACACCATCTGGTCGATGACCTGCTTCAGGTACTGGAAGTCGGCGTAGTCACCGGAGGCGCCCAGCATGGTGCTGTCGTTCACCTTGAGGAGCCGGGAGATGCTGCGGAACCGGGCGAGTGACCCGTAGGAGCCCATCATGTCGGCCGCGATGATCACCCCCCCGGAGAACTTGACGCCCAGCACCGAGGTGCCCGTCACCATCGGGCTCCTGGAGACACGAACGTCAGCGAGGCCCCGGACACCCCCCAGGTCCTCAACCCCAAAC